GCTAATACTCCCAACTGATGTATCATCCAATTCCTAGCAACACAACCCACAGCACATTCCCCACTTGATCACATAGAGAGCATCAAACGTAACTTTGGCATTGCGTTTGGGAGGTTTCCATTGCACACTGCTTAAAGCAACTAGTATGCATATAATGAAAGGGAGATGTCATAATGTTTTAACCATGTTTTTAAAACTAAACCGGTCAGGGGTCCGGTTACTGGGTCAAACGGTCTGACCATTTGAACCGAGCACTCGGCCCATTCTAACAAAAAAATAATAAAAATTCAAAAAAATAAAGACGATCAAAACTATTCAGACAGTTAACCACCCAGTTTAGCAGTTTGTTGGCCAAAATCAACAGTTTTGGGGAAAATCTGATTTTTAGGGAAAACGGACCAGTTCCCAGTTTTTCCGATTCGGTTTTGAAAACCATGATTTTAACGATGCCATCAAAATGGCGCTCAAGTGAGTGGTCAGTTGACTAATTTATGACCATTTTAACTGAATTGGATATTTAACAGTCTTAAGGAATTTGTAGACTATTGGGATTAGCTTTCTTTCCTGTTTTTGCTGTGTGTGCATGAGAATGAGAAAAGAATCATATCAATATCAGATGGGTTTTTTTTTTTTTCGCTTCATGGGGCTACACAACAGGGGGTAACCCATCCCCTTTCCCTTAACCCCCCAACCCTGGTGTCAGATGGTTTTTTATCCATTTCATTTCTAGCTTTATTTATTATATAAAAGACATGTTTGAGAGTATTTATATTAAAAATAAGTGTTTAAAAACAAGTACTTATTCAAATAAGCACTTAATAAAATTTTACAACCAGTTTTTTCAAGTGCTTATTTTAAAAAATAATTACTTGTGACTCTTTTGTCCTTAATTATCTTTCAAATAAGTGTTTGGTGGTCAGAACATAACCGTCACCCGCAAAAATATCCCACAGCCCAAAGAGCCGCAACGGAATGCCGTAACTCACTCACTGACTCTCTCTATATATATGAGTTCAGAGCTTCTCCTCCTCCACTCCTATAAATCCACTGTTGTTTCATGAGCCTCCTGTCGTCAAGATAAAGAAAGCTTATCTGAATGGAGAACACGCTTCTCTGTAAACACTGTACACGCTCTTTTCCTTTTGTCCCATTGATTACTGCGGGAAAGAGATATTGTTGATAGCTAAACAACGAGAACGGCTTCAGTCAGCACAAGGCCTGTTCGAACACCGTTCAAACAGCCTTTACAGCCTTGCATCAGGAATATTTCTGTACTTCTTTTCTTTATTTCACAGGAGATATCCCCAATGATTAGCTAAACCTTAAATAGAATATGCACCTAATTCAGATTAGCTAAACACTTTGGCTGTCCAGGGGGCTGTGGAATCAATGATGAGATTTTGTGCCAATAATAAATTCATGGGCCCCACTGAAAAGTACAGACCCCATGTATTTTATTTCTGACATGAAACCTTATCATTAATTCCACAGCCTGCTGAACAGCCAAAGCTTTCAGCTAAACCTGGCTCACATGTAACAATGCCTCACACTGTACACAGTCTTTCACATTCATTACACGCTCTAATGACTAAACAACAGTGATAAGCCAGCAGTTGCAACTTTAGCCGGAGACACAAAAGAAGCCACCCGTAAAACAAACCAGAGAAAAGAACTGCCAATTTCGTGGTTCCTCAATTGTTTTACCTTCGAACTGGGATCATTACGAAGAGGAATACGATTTGGGTTCGGATGATCCCTCACTGTGCGGTACAAGTTGAACCTATGTTCCAAAGAGCAAAGGAAAGAAACACTCAATGGAGAAGAAACTCTACATTTTTACATTCTAAGAGTATAAATGTAATTATAAAAATTAAACGGGAACAGTTTTGATAAAAAAAAATTGAATAAATGCTTATCGTTTAAACATTTAAAAAAACTGAAAATTTAGGCTTAAAAAATAAGCCTCTATTTTTAGAATAAGCACTTATTTCCCAAACACCAATAAGTATTTAATGGTGTGGTCCAGAATAGGGAAGCAAAGGTGAAAGTGCAAAAATAAAATAAGCACTTAATTTTAACTCCAAGCAGTGCTTCATGGTTCAAAGGTGAAAGGTTGATGGCACCTTAGAAATCTGTTTATACAAGAGGATTTCAAACAGTAATGCTGGTTGAAAATCAAAAGGTTCATGACACCTTGAGCACCGGAGTAGGGAAGCAAAGCATTTGACAAATAAGTTGCAACTAGAAATCAGACTCCTCAGTCTGCTAACTCCATTGCTGGTTCACATTTGGTGAGCACTTGGGTGTTTTTTCTTTTTAACAGTGAGCATTTGGGTGCTTAAGTCATTAAGAAATTATGAAGGTGACGTGCAAGGAATGACATTTAATGAAAAAGAGTGAAAATAACACTTCTTATATGGAATGGCTTAAAAGTAAATAACATGGACAGCTGGGGCAAAATTCCGACTAGAAGCTTGAGAGCCATTCAAGTGGCTGAAGTACCACACCCTTGAACTCGTGTTTTTTCACCACACTGTTTTCTAGCTTTATATGCCTCAAAATTCCTCAATACCGAAAAGCTGTCAAGGGATAGCCCTTGTAGATGGTTACCATGTTTGCATTGCATATATTCTTATTGATTTGAGGGCATCTCACCAGTCTTGAAAGATCTGCTTTTGAACCCAAGGCATGAGGCGATGCGCACCCATGGGCGTGCGCTTTTAATGTGCCTTTTTAAAGCAAGGAGAAAAAATGCAAAAAAAAAAAAATAGAGCTAAAAGTTAAAAAAAATCCAAAAAAGTAAAAATGTAAAACATTATATTAATTAAAAATATAAACCTAAATTTTAAAATAAATGCTTTAAAAATCTGTTATCTAAAATTAAAATAAATATACATAACATATAAAACATATTTAAAAATAAAATTAAGCATAATATATAAAACATATTTAAGCATGTAAAACTCTTAATCTTTGTATCTTCTTTCCCTATTGCATTACTTCAATAGCTAATGTGATGTTAAACATTATGAATTCTTGATTCTACAAGACCAAGCCCCGTGAGGCAAGCCAAAACAAGTTCATATCAAAGTATCAAATTCTTAATCCTTCTAAAAAGGATTTTATAATTTAATTTATTTTTTAAAAATATCTTTTACTAGTATGAATGAATGACACTATTTGCTAATGTTACTCATTTATTCAGCATAATAAAAGATATTTCTAAAAAACAATTAAAATTATAAAATCTTTTTTATAGGGATTAAGAATTTAAGACTCTAATATGGACATGTTAGGGCTTGCATCAAGGGGCTTGGTCAGGACCCAGGGGCTTTGCCCAACTGTCTGACATCAAAAAAATGAACAGAAAAGAATAAATGCACAAATTTTCAAACATGCACACCTGAACTTTAAGTGCATAGAAATGTTATGCCTGGGCCTTGCCTGTGCACCTAGAAATGCCTTAATAAATCATTGATACAACTAATATTTCATATTAAGGTGGCATTTGACAACTCTGAAGTCAAAATGTTATTTTCCAGGTCTGGTCTAAAAAGTGGTAGATTCTATGCCTTTTCAGATGTTCAAAATATAAGAGCATTTATGTTAGGGTGTTCTTCTAACGTCTAACAATTGCCTATTTTGTTATTTTGGCCCTAGAAACAGGAGGGTGCTCTTCCTCGTCTGTTTCTTCATCGAACCTGGACCTGAATCACCCAAGTAACTGAAACAACTTCGTCCTCCTATGGCAAATGGAGAGACCCAAACCACCTCTCTTCTTCACCCCTGCACTGTGGCCATCAAAACTGACCTAGTGGCGGTAACCCCCCCCCCCCCGCTCTCTCTCTCTCTCCCCCCATTTTCCTACTCATTATTCTTCTCTCTCCTTTCCTTAGACTCCTTCTCAGATGACAATATACAGTAGAACCATCATACCTCTTCAACCTCCAAACGTTACAGAACACCACCATCACTGTCGATGCCCACAGTTCCCACTGGAGAAGACGTGATGTAGATGGTAATGGCGGAAGGTGGTGTTTTTTTTAGGGCTTGAATTGGTTTTAAAAGGGGCAACGCATGTCATTTCAAAAACCTTTAGTGGCCTTTAGGGCTTTGGCTAGGCATTGAAAATCATCTAACCACAT